TCTTGGGGCAGCAATCTGGTACAAGCACGTATCCTCACAAATTTTTCCAGGGAATGTTCCATCGCTAAAGAAAAGTTTGGGGACCTACTCCCCATGCGTTCCAAAGGCCAATCTGTTCCTCAGACCATGTGATTACTTTTTATACTGAAAAGTATTTGCCAAAGTTGTTAATCTAATTTATTTGAAAACAATTAAAAGAATAAGGTATTGTATAAATATTTTTAATTGAATTTCATAGTTAAAGTCACAAAAATATGTAGACATTCAGCTTGTGTACCTTTGACTTCCCAGCTTGCCATTCCTGGATTTGTGGGTTTCTTTCTACATGAACTTGATAGTTAACAGGACTTAAACAGCCTGATTCTCTTTGCTTCAGAAACTGATAGTGCTGTCAAAGTTCCTCATACACCTTGCTAATTAGATACCTGATAGAGGGGAGTGGGTTGCCTTGAAAATAAAAAAAAAGACTTTACAATCTGCAGGTGATTTAAGTCAGACCGAAAAATACTGCTTTTACACGGTATCAGGTTACATTTGTTGTCACATGTATTTACATGATACTTTTATTTGTACAGTATACCATAGTCCAGCACTGCTGCCAAACATGTGAGATCAAATATGGTAAATTACTGTTGTCGTTGAGGTCTGATACACCAAGAAGAAAAACACAAGTCTGAAATTACCGAAAACTTCATGGGAAAAGAGGAAAGGAGTTCCCAGAAATATACTGAAAAACGAATGCTTCTCAGTCTAGCAGTGAGCTTGCCAGAGCTTTCCAAAAGCAGATGAATGTTCTTGACCTGATGAGTGTTTATCAACTGTCTGTGTGTCTGCTTGGCAGCTTCGCTCCCTTGAAAATGCTCTTAATCTGAAGGGCTTGAGGAGATGAGGTTTTGTAGTCATCCTTCTAGTCAAGGTTCCCGTTCTCCCAGCGCATCTTTCTTCAATGAGAAATGTGTGAAAAACAGTGGTGGTGTTTTGGGGCACGTTATCACACATGGTAACTCAAGAATTGCCTATTTAGATGTACCTGTCCGCACATGGAGGACTCGTTTGGGTTATTTTTAGTGAAATTTCTTCTAGTCAGAGATGTTTCCAACTTAATTCATGATGTTTAAAAATGCTTTTTTGCAAACCGAACAGGCAAAGATTTTAAGTAATACCACAAGGGCAGACAGATTGTTCAAACCTACGGTTAATGTCAAAAGAGAAAACGAAGTTAGCTTTGGAGTAATTGCAGCTTTACATCCTAAATGACAAAATACTATCTCTGATATGAATCATACATAAAATTCTGCTTTCATTTTTCACTTGCTTTATAACCCTCACTAGGTAACATAAGTCCTGGTGATTGAGAGTTTTAGGGATACAACAGCTGCAGCTGAGAAAACTGAATCAACAGGTTAAAGCCTTGGATGCATGAAACTCTACATGTGTCTGTGGAAAATTCTCTTTTACAAGAACCATTGTGTCATCATTTTTTGGGTGGGGCAGGAGTTGTGGGTTTGTTCTTTGTTAATACAATGCCTTCTCGCACAACTGGTTCTTTGATCCCCCAAGATTAGTGTCTCTTCAGTACTACAGCAATGAAAAAATAAATAACAAGTATGACATTTTAGGGCTTTGGTACTGGAAGTTACTTGTCCAGAGTAACAGAATGAAGGTTTAGCAGACAAGGAATTTCTCTGATCCTGTCCCTCCCTCAGACAGTTATATTGCTTCTCTCTAGCAAATGACTTTGTCTGATGTGCCATGATATGTTGCGTGGGTCTTAGCGTGCCGCTGCCAGCACCTCTGCTCCTCAGAGTCACTGCAGAGGCAGTCAGGCAGCAAAGCATGTCCTGCCTTTGAGGTTTGACACGAGGAAGCTCTTGGAAGTGCAGAAGGAAACCCTGGGAGTCACGCGGACCTGTTTGGTGACAGGCAGGCTAGTGTGCCTCAGGGCCAGCAGCCAGGAAGGACCTCACCTGAGGCACTTTTTGGCAGAACTTGGTGTGGACTGAGTTCCTGAAACAGAGCTGGGAGCACAGTCTCGAGTCTAATGACCTTTTCTTTTTTCCCCTAGCAAATATAAAAAAAAAAAAGCATTGTTCTGAAGTGCATTAGTAACATGCAGAATGATGCTCCATTCAGAAGGCAATTAGTTAGGCAAGTTTATTGGGTTCCATCATTTATGAAGGTCCAAGAGTGTGTACCTGTGTTATCTGAGACATCTCCTGGGAGGCACCTCTGTCTGCCTCCCTGAATTTTGGGAGGAATCTCAGGGGCAGGGTGATGTTTATGCGCATGCATGCTCCTCACAGTATGTCCATGCTTTGCCTCGTGATGGTGTGGGCATGGTGTTCTGCCCTGACATTGGATCCAGTTGGTCACTTATTCAGAAAAATGCTTCCCTTAGCTCTAGAAAAGAAAAGTACGGAATGCAGTGTCTATCCTACCCGCCCAACACAATTGACTTCCAGCAAAGTCAATGGAATTATTTGTGCAGGATATGGTCCAGTGTTAAGAAATTCTTTTAAAGCATAGGAGCAAAAACTGTGTGTGCATCTTTATGTGCTGGAATTTTTCCTCTTTTTTTCAGGCATGGACAAAGGGAGAGAGTCCCATTAAGTGTGTAGGGGACAAAGGGTGGGAGGCATAGGACAGCATAGGATGGAATGGGGTTGGAAAGGAAGAGAAATAATCTCTGTCAGGCAAATAGAGTAACTTGTCCAAGTACCTTCTCCAAATTTGTTTGAAGGTGCCCAGGGAACAGGTTGGGGCTTTCTTGAAATTACAGTTTAAGGAATGAAATTATTATAAAAATAATAGTAGAGTCGGGCGTGGGCTGCAAATATGTTACTTTTATTTTCTGAAAAAAACAAAGAAAACATACAAAAAACCCACCCCAAAAAACTAATTAAGGATAATTTCCTTTACTGTTTCTTTGCCAAGACCTATTTTCAGGACTCTGTGCTTCCCATTGAGCAACCAATGAAATCCCAGGCACCTAAAACAAATAGAAGCAATATACTTAGGACTTGGCCCTTAAAAAAAAAAAAAAAAAGAAAGAGGAAATTATTTTTAAATATTTTGCTTTAAAATATGGTAGATTGACATTTCTATGTTCCCGTACATTTTGTTGTTAATTTTGGCTAGTAAATAGTTCCCTTTGTAAAACAACAACTTAACCATTCACCTTTCGTATGCAGTTAAACTCAGATTCTGTGTAACCTTAGGCTTCCGTACTGTTTCCAGGACACATGCAGGAGCAATTCTCTTTAAAAACCTAGGTGTGAGGGACACCAAGGTTGAGTAATGAGAGTATAAATCATGTTTGCTTCTTACCCAGGGCTGAGCCATGCTCTCAGCAAAATCAAGAAAATGTGATTTTTTGGGTTCTGTAAGTATTCAGGCCATCTGTTGGAGCCACAGTGGCCGTCTCTGTGCTAGAAATTAAATATGTGCATTTGTCAGGTTGAAGTTTGAGTGATTGTTTCACTGAAGTAAAGGTGGTACATTGTCCACGAAATCCTATCTATTCACAGGATACAAAGTTTAGAACAGAAGATATTTATTCAATTAAATGATTTATAAAGGAAAGGATAAGGAAAAAGAAAATATGAAGAAGATTGTTAAAAATTTTGATAAAATTTCTGTGTGAAACAGGTTTTAATTAAGAATTTTAAATTAAAAAAGAAATGTAGTTTAATTTTTCTTTCTAGTAGTTTGTACTGCTTTGCTAGTATATTGCTTTTTTGTTCTTTTGCAAAATGATGGTAATGTCACTTAAATATCAGCTGTGCTTTGAACAACTCATCATCTGGTTGATAATCATAGAATCATTAAGGTTGGAAAAGATCTCTAAGAATCATCTAGTCCAATCCTCAACCCAATACTACCATGACCACTAAACTATATCCTGAAATGCCACATCTTCACATTGGTAGTGCCAAGTACCACGGAGAAGTTAGGTTTTTGGTGTTTCTGATTGTGTATTCAAAATGAACTGATGTTTCTGCTAATAGTGGTTTCCCTCTCCCTCTGTTTCTGTCCCCAGTTATAAGGTAAGGATGCCACCTGCTTTTTATAGGTAAGAAGGTGGAGCCACAGTGTTTGTGGTAGACCCAGCTACTATGACTAGTAACTAGATGAAAATGTCCATGAAGAGCTTTGTCATCACTCCTCAGAACAGGGCTTGGTCACTTCATACTCCTTAGGTGATTGTTTTTAAATCCTTGTTAACTCTCCATTTTGTTGACCTTACGTTCTGGCCTCGCAAGTTCATTGATCTCCACACCTCCTCTTCTCTCTGCCTTACTCTTTTGCTCCTCTGATTTCTCCTTTTACTACTTCTTGAGTCTGGTCGCTGCCAGAGACAAACTTTGCCATTAGGGAGAGCCTCTCAGTTCTTCATTTGGCACCATGTACTTCTCCCTTCACTGGCATGTCCCATGAAGCTACACGGGTTGCCGTGGAGGAGCATCTGTGAGATGCCACATCTAAACCAGCACAGAAAAAGGCTCTGCCACATTCATGGGGAATTGAATCTATCCAGCCTATGCAAGCGTTCTTTTTTTTCAAAGGCTTATAAGTTAACCAAATCTGGGCAACTTTTAATAAAAACTTTTCCCCTGCCAAATTTCAAGTCTGTTCTCCAAAACGTGGAGGCACTAGAGCTTTTTTTTAATGAAACAGTTATTAAAAAACAAAACAAAGCTCAGAATAATAACGTGTTTTTCTCTCAGTCGTTCTCAGAAAGGTTGTTCTGTTGTTCTCAGAAATGGCTGAACCAGTTAAGCCTGATTTATTTATTTTGGAAAGAGTCCGCTGAGACAAGCTTGCAGCCTGGGAATTTTCAGCCGAACTGGTTAGATAATCTCAAAATTTGGCAAAGTTTAATGCAAAAGAAAATGGCCTTACACTGAGAAGTCAAAGGCAAGCTTACTTAGCAGCAATGCTCCTTGCTTAGTATAGAAAAAGACTATATATATTAACTGCTTTTTTTTTTTATGTTTCAGATTCTTTGAGTACATACTGCTCTACAAAGATGCAGTGATGTTTCAGATTGAACAAGTTACGAAACTTTGCTCAAAGATTGCTCTGACAGAGCCGTGGGATCCCTATGACATTCCTGTCAATTCAACTTATGAAGACCAGTACTACATTGGGGGGCCTGGAGATGAAGTTATGGTGCAGGAATGGTCTGACAGAAAACCAGCCAGGAAATGTATGTGTATGCATTTGTTTCGTCTTTATAATAATCATTGTCTCTGCTACCCAGGGGTAAAGAAAATCATTCACATTCACCCCAGCTTTCCGTGTTTCTGTAAAGTTGGCTGGAAGAAATAATAACTGTACCCAGGGCACAGCACATCATTTTATCAGTGCAATTTATTAAGAAAATGTTTGATATCTCAGCAGAATCAGATATGTCTGAGGGATTTGACTGGATTTTAGTTCATATCATGCAGATTTTGGCATGGGACCAGCGTCATTTTGCATTTGGCTCCAGCAGCCTGTATCCAAAATTTTTCTAGAGATTATTTGGTAATATAATTAGTGCCTAATATGAACCTGAGCGTTTAACCAGTGGAAAATACTTCTTTCCTGAATAAAAGTACAAAGAATGAAGTAGAAAATGAAGGACGAGATTGTTAGACCTCTGAAACTAGGTCAATACATCCTGTTGTGTTCTACAAAAGGCGAATTATCGCTCCAAGAAATTTGTTTTTCAGATCCAGTAGTTTTGGAACTTTTGTGGAATTTAATATCCGGATACATTCAGTTAATGACGTGTGATTTTTATCCTGTAGTATTTTCTATATAATCATTCATAATGTCTTAAAGTTGTCTACCCCATCCACCTTTTACTGAATACTAGCTTTAATTCTAGAAATTATATTTCTTTTAAAATTATAAATCTTACAGTGGAGATATAGGCTACCTTGGTAGCATTGTATTTTACCTGATTTTTTTGATTCAAAATTCTGGTAGAAGATGTATTGAGGGGAAAAAAAAATGCCTCCATGTCTGGATACTGAAAACCAAACTCACTGAGGTCAGAATATTTTTGGTGTATGAGAAGTATATTCAAATATTGCTTAGCTTACTGGAAGGACAGAAAATAAGTATGTTTGATTGCTGCTGAGAGAGAAAATAAGCCTCCTTGGGACTGGGAGAATTTGTTATAGGCATCCCCCAGAGGGACTGATTTATGATGGCAGTAGGTAATTTTGTATTTTAACCTCGTGAGTTTGTGTTATCAACAGATCTGAAATACATAAAACAGCTGCATGAAGTGGTGTACAATGGAAGGGGTAGAGAAAGATCACAGAAGAGGTGCATGGCGTTAATAAAAGATTTAAGAGTGAAGGGTGTTCAGAGCAAACCACCTCGATGGTACTGACTAGAGAAGTAGCAAAGTGGTGAAAGTAGAAGCAGTGGTGGAGGACAAGGGGAAGGAGCAAGGGAACACCACTGAGATAAGCATGTCATGGAATTAAACTGAAGCTTAAGAGCTTTCTGGGCATGGGAAGGAATCAAATGTGTTTTAGAGTGTCAGAGGATGTGTTGAGGGCCAACGTTGTGGAATCGACCATAGGTTTCCAGTAATTCCACCTTTCAGCTTGGCAGGAACAAGAGTGTAAGGTGAAACATCCCCGTGCTACCCAAGCTGACAGCACCAAAATTTGCCTTCTGAGGAAAACAGAGCATTTCACTGCTTTGCTGGTGATACGAGTGCTGACATATAAGTGGGGAGAGAAACCAGACTTTTGTAGAACATGACTAAATTTGGGACCAAGCAGAAGTGATGGTCCTACAGGAAAGGTGACCTACCAATGCCATGGTGGTGTCATGATTTGAAATGTGCTCAACACCAGCATGTTCAGGTTGAAGATCATTGTGGTGTCCAAATTACACCAGTTTTGTGTTCTTTCTTGGTGTTGCCATGCATAAAGGCAGAATTAAAGGCAGTTCCAGCCTGTAGGCGTCTCTGGAGGAACGGCCTTTTTTATTATTTTTTTTTGACTGACACCGTTGTGACACGTTCGTTTGCTCTTGTCATCTAAAGTGGTCACGTTTCTGCTTGGTTACAGTGGAATCCTGGGTCGGCGTTTACACGGTCAAAGACTGTTACCCAGTACAGGAAACCTACACGAAGAACTACAGCGTGACGACCTCCACTCGCTTTTTTGATCTGCAGCTCGGCATCGCCGACCCCTCGGTGTTCACCCCACCCAGCACCTGCCAGAGAGGCCAGCTGAGGAAGATGAGGGACGAATGCTGATGATGGACACAAGGGCTGCCCCGGGCAAACAAATATTAGCCAAGAGGATGTTATTAGTCGTCAGCTGCTGACGTCTAACCCAAATTTTTTCAAGCTTATTGTTGCTCTTTTGGGAATTGTGAGTGTTCGCCTGAAAGGGAACATCAACATTTAACTGAGTAAAATGTGTGACACAAAAGATCTCTTTCATCACATTAATCTGTTTGATGATGCACTTGCAGTATTATATAGTTACCACTAAGATAGTATTTGTAGATACTATTTATTTAAGCTGTGGCTGATTTTCCTTTTGTGAAAGGTTTCGTTATTTATTTTTTCAAGAATATAAAGCACAAACGCACTGTAATAATGGCAACATCTAGAAGGAAAAGCTGGATTTTATTGGTTTTGTTCCTTGTGTGGACGTGAGGTAAGGGGAAATATATCCTGAGTGAGACCTCAACCCCATCCGAAAAACACCCCATTTTAAACAGTGTACATCTGAAAATTTGTTCTTTTTTGTTTATCTTTTTTCCTTTCTGCTCTTGCGCAGTCTGGTAGTCTAATATTTGAGCTGATTTTTTTCTTTCAGGGGAGAAACCAGAGTAGCTCTATTTGTGTAATGCTAGCTGACATGCAAAAAGTGGTTTTCTGTTTCTTGGGAGAACGGCGTGAAAGAAAGGAAAGGCGAGAGAGGTACACCCCCAAAAACGTAAGCCAAAGTTTTCTTGCATTTAGTGCGCTTGGTGAAGGGTTCCAGTAGGGTGTGATGAAACATTTTTGTCATATTTTACTTTAGCACTCACTTTTCAAGGCAATACTAGCTTTAACCTATGCAAAGAGATTAAGAAGGACCGCACTTTAGATGGCTTTAATATTTTATAACCACTTTCAAAAGCCCTTACTCAAAGAGTATGAAAACACCTTTACATTATAATTCCAGAAGACATCTATCCTGGTGCTTTCAAACCAGGACTCACGTCCTCTGTGGCTGCAAGGCCATTTCTGAAGCAGAAGTGACAATCTTGCTTTCTTTTGCACCCCCTCCACTGATGCCTGCCTGATTTACTATTCCATCAGCACCTCGAACCTTATTATTTATTATTTACAAATTATAACCTTATTATATGCAACAAAATATTTAAAGCCAGACTCTTGTCCTCTCACGTATGTTGTTGGCTCCTTGTTTGCGCCAGAAGTTGTCCAGCTGGAGCCAGTGCACCACTGGGAAGTTTGGTGTCTCTGGAGGAGAGATGCGGGGAAAGCTTTTAGTGCTTTATTGGCTCATAGCTTTTTGTACATAAGCAAATAGTTGCAGTGGTTGTTTTGCTTTCACAGCCATGGTCAGAATGGCATTTTACTTTGCCTTGTGCCTAATGAAAGCATACACACAAACCTGCTGAAAAATAGATAGTTCTTCAAAATATTTTCTTTTGGACATGACCATTTCCCTGAGACGTGCTGGTGGAAAAAAGGATTGGGTTTCCTTGATACATTTAGTCTGTACTCGCCTTCTCTAGTTTTTGTGACAACCTGAATGCTCACTGCATATTTTTCTCATCAGGGCAACGATTAACATGCATTTCTTAATATCTGTGTCTTGTTAAAATCCAGAAAATATAATAAAACTGGCTGGCAAACATGAAGCTGTGGTGCCGTGTGGTTTGGAATGACTTTGTCATGGTAGAGCAGAAAGCCGAGTAATCAGAGTCTTCATACTCTGTTTTGCTGACAGTGTTGTCATTTCTAGCAATAATACTAAATGTTCTTTTAAAGATTAATTTGCAAAAGTCTACTACACAGAAGCGCTTTAAAAATGTTGCTGTGACATACAGGGCATACATGGCTAAACGTGTACCTCTGAAACAGGGCTGTTGTCTTCACGATTATGCTCTGCAAGTTCAATACAGCCTTGTCAAGGAGATGTCAAACAACAAATTTCTGGATTAGGTCTTTTAAGTTAGCCATCAACCAAACATGAAGCACAAAACGCCTGTTCCTGTTTTGTTATCTTTGTTACCGTTTGCCGTGGTTTGTTACCAAGTTCCTCGAGACATTCTGTCTTTATGCAACTACGTCAGTGACTGAATAAGAGGACTTTAAAGCAGCCGTATAGTTGCTGCCACAACTATAAAGTTGCTGCCACAGTCAAGTAAAAACGTGTGTTTCTTATATCCCATTGTCTGGGGAATTTGTTTATCGTGGTTATCTGGTGGAAAATTAATAGTAAATTGGTGTGTATGTCAGTTACATTGTTTTCTCTTGAGTAACAGTGACAGAACCTGGGAAGTGGAGAGCCTGTGAGGCAGAGCTAGTTTTCTGAGATTTCCTGGTTTCAGCTGGGCCAGAAAAAGTGCAAACATCCATCTGCCTGCCATATTTTTTTGTGTTTCTGCTTGGAGGCTTTGCTGAAAGCAGGATGTGTAGAAACGCGACATTGTTTTATTTAAAGTTAACCAAACATTCCTGAGGCTCAAAACAGGTTTAGTTTGAGTTTGGGGAGGAGATCTGGGCATTTGGTTCAGTTCCTATATTGACAGTTTGCTTAACTCTAGTATTAGGGCCAGATTTTCTTGCCTCAAGCCATGCTGCACATCATAGAAGTGCTGCCATTTACCAGGGCTTGCCAACTTTCATGAGGAACATAGGAAAAAATACAATAATCCATAGTCAAAGTAAATTTTCGTCAAGAAGTCTTTAAACAACAGAATATTCTTATTTTGGGATGCTCTAATGAAATGAGCGTGTTTTCTACCTTGAAGTTCATTTCATTCCAGTGCCCATGCTTACTCCTTGCAACCTTGCGTCTCTCTTCCCACCACCCTTTACTTCCTAATGGTGGTGGAGTCCACTTCCAAAACGGCATTTACAACTCTCACTTGCCTTTATTTCGGTAGGAGATCAGCCCCTAGATACCCAATGGATCTGATCTGGACCTTATCTCTTCGATTTCGCAGTCTTATCCTAAGTGCAAGAGTGGTGCCAGTCATAACCAAATGCAAAGAACTGTGTGTAGGTGACCCATGGTGAGAGAAGTGTTGGATCAGGTGCAATTGCCCAAAATCCCAGTCGATGGGAGGTCTCCCACATCACATCCTGCATCACTTGCATCCTGGACCACAGACTCGTGCTGGAGGGAAGCTGTGGGACGTTCTCACATGACAGAAAGGCACGTAAGGAAAGTGTCGGCTAGTTGTGAGGAATGAAGATTTCAAAAGAGCACCCCCACAAAAAGACAGAGGTCCTTGACTGTAGAGATCCTGAGGTCTCCCTCAGCTGGCTTTCCAGGAGTTTGCATGTATGACAGGGACTCAAGCACATACAGATTTAATCATCACACCTGCACGTGGCCTAGAAACAAATGAATCAAGCTTGGAAGGCTCCTTAAAACACTTCTGAGCGTTTACTGCTTTGTAAGGGGAGAGGGAGAAAAGCTTATGGTCCAATGAGTAGCCTCAGAAAACAGTAGGTTGTCAGATATGTAGGTTAAGAGGGTTGAGACACAGCTATGAGGCTGCTAGGGTAAAGTTCCAAGCGTTGTTTGAGGACACACTGGTTTAACATGCTCCGGGGAAAGATTTGTGTGGTTTGATAGGACTGTTTTGGCACAGATTGTACTGAAGAAAATGATGCACTTAGTTCCAATGTGATGGGACAAGGGGAAAGGGCCTTAAGTTGTGCCAGGGGAGGTTCAGGTTGAATACTGGAAGAATTTCTTTGCTGAAAGGGTTGTCAGGCATTGGAACAGGCTGCCCAGGGAGGTGGCTGAGTCGCCATCCCTTGAGGTGTTTAAGAGACGAGTAGATATTGTGCTAAGGGACATGGTTTAGTGGTGTTGATATGGATCTTGAAGGTCTCTTCAAGATCTTGAAAGTCTCTTCCAACCAAAACTGTTCTGTGATTCTATGGTCCTATATTTGGGTTGAAGTAAGGACAAATAGCCCAGCAGGGCACATTGTGCAGGCACAAGTGAGTGACCGGTGACCCACCTGTTCAGCTGCAGGAATATGTGTCTTACAGGAGGGGTGAATCCCTCTCTTCACCACCCCATCTATGGGAACTTCCTTCAGGCTCCTTCCTTTCCCACTGTGCATAGCAGGAACAATAATTCTGCTTCCCACCTCCTCTTGTCTTCCTGACTGTGACAGCTCTGGGCCAACTCCAGCACCTCAGCCCCGTGGAGGTTTTTCTGCCTCGTGGCACGTAAGAAAACGATGCGTCTGTGCTATGCGTGCAGACTTTACCCTTTGCCCACTGCGTGCCCGCTCCATGCGTGGGGTTGTTGCTCAGGCGCTCAGCACTCGGCCGTCGCTGTTAATTGGGCTCAGCTCAGGCTTTGGTGACGCCAGGCAAAGGGGCTCGTGAGCGAAAAGAAAAGAGAGGAGAGGAAAGGGAAGCCTGCTGTGCTCACTCTGCTCCCTGCTGGGGTTTTTCCCACGCTTGCCTGGTGCTGACAGACAGCTTTGACGTTCCTGAAACAGCAGCAGCCGGGATGCCAGCTCTGCATTATGGCCCCTGTCACGCCGAGGGAGAGGGTGGGCTTTCACCCTCGGCACTAAAATTATCCTCCAGGCCAGGTCAGGGAATCGGGTTTGGTTTTGGTGGAGAAATCATGCCCATGGTCCCTGCCACTGCCCTCCCAGTGCCCCCACTGCCCTCCCAGTGCCCCCACTGTCCCCTCTCCATCCTCTGCTCCCCAGGACAAGCAACAAAGATGTGGGAAGAGCCCTTCTGCTCTTCCCACCACCATGCCATTGTGATATTTGTTTTTTGCTTCAGCTGGTTCCTTGCTTCTTTATGTGAGAGCTGCTGGAGCAATTTATCATAGAGATGCTGAGCTTGGGGTTTTTTACCACTCTTCTTTGTGCCAGGTAGCGTCCCTTGTTTATTGCTGCAATATCTTCTCCCAAGTTACTAATGATAGGACAAGAGGAAGTGGCCTCAAGTCACACCAGAGGAGGTTTAGATCGGATATTAGGAAAAATTTCTTTACTAGCAGAATGGTGAGGCATTGGAACAGGCTCCCCAGGGAACTGGTGGAATCGCCGTCCCTGGAGATGTTAAAAAAATGTGCAGACGTGGCACTTCAGTATATAGTTTA